GAATACTACCTATTGGTGTAGTCTTTGTGTACTTAATTAAACCAAAACCAAAACCCTAATAAGACTATAGAGTAACTAAAAATAAAAAAAATAATAACAAAAGTAGATTAAGTATCGTGGCTCATGTTAGTAATTACTAATGGAGTTTCATTATGTGTTTTGCATAGAAAATGAGTGACTTCATCAAATTGTTGTCGGTTCTTTACAGTGAGAGTTGTAAAAAACAAAAACATGGATAGAGAGAGAGAGAAGAAAAAAAGATGATTTTCGCAAAGATACACGTTTTGAGAACAACAGGTGGGGTCCATCAATGTCTCAGAAGAGGTTCGGGCGTGGATTAGTGGGTAGCATGCCGAACTGTTAATCCAAAGGTCCATGGTTCGCGTTCCGTTACCGTAAAATTCCACTTCAGGGGCGTGATTGCGTTATAAGAATGACGGTGAAATCCGTTTTTCGAATAGAGTAGCCCAACAATTGGCGGTGGGTGCTCTTGACTAGCTGCTTTCCCTGTTGTCTATCAGGAACAGCTAGATCACGCAGGCCTTATGTAGCTTTGCGCAAATATCCGAAACAAAGAAAGTTTCAAAAGGCTTATTTAGACCGAACAGTTCTCGAGACGACTTGTTACCGTCGTGTGTGAGGCAAAGAAAGAAACGCGTACGAACATAACATTGTAAACTCTAAACCTTTTTATCTTTTCGCTCTTATACACTACACCGACTTTAATGTTTCGTTTGTGACATAGGAGTTAATGAAAAAAAAAGCAGAAGAATAATAATAAAAAAAAAGTTAATTGTTTATATAACTTTGATCTTCAAAGAAACGGATCCGAGTGAAATTACCGCATACTTAGTAAGTAGATGCTTTAAAAGGTTCATCAGGCTTTTTGTGAAGACTTTTCTCTCTCTCTCTCAAAAAAGAAAACAAGTTTCACAAAAACACGTATATAATCGATTACAATAATTAACTTTGTATACACGTATTAGAAAGTAAAGTTTCCGAAACTAGTAGGTGGGTTTTAAAATAAATATACAGGGCCTTAATTAATGTTTTGTGAGATGCGATTGTACCATAATATTTGATGACATTTCTAATGGACAAAATGCGTAAAATAAATTAAAAAAACAAAACAGTTTAAGCTCCAAATTTTCCATTTACATTTATTCAGTATTAAAATGTTTATTTTTTTCTTCTTAAAAGGAATAAAAAAGGGGGGCATCTGTGGGTGATTTTTTTGTAGCCTACTAAGTTTCATATTTACTCAAATAATTGCCTCACAATTCACTTAGCCCCCCAGTGGCACAGCGGTATGTCTGCGGACATACAACGCTAGAAACCGGGTTTCGACACCCGTGGTTGGCAGAGCACAGATAGCCCATTGTGTAGCTTTGTGCTTAACTTCAAACAACAACTCAAACATTTTTTCGGTGAATACACGTTAAGTGCATGTGGCATTAATTACAACTGTAAATATTTTTAATATTTAATACATATTAAACATTTTAAGGCAAGAATCAACCAATCATTGATTCATTCCTTTATATTATCATTCTTATTCTTCTCTAAGCCTTAGTCTGAGGTCGCCTTCTCGGGTATTTCAAATTAGCCAATAATTTTTATACTCGAGTGGCTAGCCCTGACAGCAACTCTAAAGGTCGATTACGTTTGGTGACGGGGATTCGAACCCCCGACCCTTAGATTGCGAGTCGAACTCCCTAACCACCAGGTTCTGCTTCATATTATCACTATATTAAATAAACTGAAATTTAATTTTATTACATTTCAGTTTTTATATGAAAACTTGTTCTTTTTTCTTCTCTCTCTCTGGAAATTAATGAAGAATTTGGTTTATGAAACTAATCGTCTATACAAATTAGTATCTTCAAAGTGACGTCATTAAAATAGTAACCTCTGGGCTTTTTTTTTTCTAGTATTGTCTGTAAAACACAGTAAACAAACTGTGTATTCGGATAACTGTTTGTGATCTCCAAATGTTTCGCCTTTGTTTTTTTGTTGTTGCCCAACACATATACACACCGCCTTTGTTTTTTTGTTGTTGCCCAACACATATACACACCGCCTTTATTTTTTTTGTTGTTGCCCAACACATATACACACCGCCTTTGTTTTTTGTTGTTGCCCAACACATATACACACCGCCTTTGTTTTTTTGTTGTTGCCCAACACATATATACATTAGTTCTACATATCTTGAAATTAGAAATAGGCCTAATGTTACGATAAAAATGACTTTAGACTACATATTTCTCATTACTTGTCCACTCCGGACTGTATGAAGTGTCATTTCAGGTGTATCTGTTGTCATGACCCAGGAGGCCTTTCGTACAATACTAGAACTCGTCAGTCGAGCTGAATGAAGAGAGATAAAGGTTTATCAGAAACGCTTTTTATATATGCACTGCAAGTCCGGTGTTCGAGACATAACATAGCTGCACATGCTCCGCACGCTTAGCTGTGATTGCATTAAAAAAGTAGAATCAAATTCCGTCATTTAACTTAGAGAGCCGAATAACTTCCTCATGGCGGAGGGTGCTACTTACTGCTTGCCCTTCCTATGGTCAGTAGTTTAATATTAGGGGCAGTTGTACCTGAATTCTAGGGGTTAATGATTTGGACGTTTTACCCACGTACACGTAAGGTGTTGTTCGGGTTGAAAATTCCAAATAACTTTCAGTTGTTTATAGGTTACGTTATTGTATCACTATTGTTAGATATATATTTTAATCGATCACTTCGTTTTTGGTGTATATAGTTGTAATTGTCCAATTTCAATCTGTTTAGGTATTTTTATTTGAACTGATTTTCAGCTATTTAATTATTTGTATTTCTCTGTGTGTAAAACGGTAAGCCATCGCTAGTACGCAAACACAGGTACACAGTCATTGTGTGTGTGTGTGTGTTTTATAGCAAAGTCACAGTGGGTTTTTTTTTTGTTGTTGTGTCAACCGAGGGGAATCGAACCCCTGATTTTAGCGTTGTAAATCCGGGGTACCAAAATTATTTGGATTCCATTTCTTGTCGTCTTGCCAAATTGAACTAGTGTGACAAAAAAAAAATTGCGTTTCAGTTAAATAAGTAATAATTATTATAAATGGTTTTGGAGAGCACGTGAATTTTTATCACTTGTAAATAACGTGTGGAATGTTGGAGGTAACATTTGATGTCCACAGCACGAGGTGTTTCAGAATGTAACCGGATTCTCCTCCCTCCAGTAACATCGTCGAATAATTAAAGCAGTCTCCATGATACTAACACTCGATTAAGCTCTAGTCTCTGATATACTGAAGAGCTGCTTATCAGGACATTACGTAGATGGTTACCCGATCACTGCCCTATTTTACGTTCTAATCATGTTGACCGGACTATGGAACCGAGGTTTCGTGGTTCGCGTTCCGTTTGTGTCAAAAGAAAAATCGCACTTTTCAGTTTGAGCCCGTGGACATTTTAGAAGAGTGAGGGTCAAATCCCACTATTGGATCTGACAAGAGTTGCCTTCCCTTTATTCTATCATTTCAAAACTAGAGATGACCAGCACAGATAGCCCTCGATAGCTTTGCGCGAAATTTATCAAACAAACAAATCTAACTATCTTATTTGGAACTTGTAGGTAAATATCTTTAAATAGATTAAATGAGATTTTCAATAGTTGTTCACTAGCTGGTCAATGAAACCGAGTTTCGAAAGGAAGTTTCACAGGCTGTTACTGTGGGAGTCTATTGAGGGTACAGGATGATGGACGATAAATCCTCCTACTTTTGTATCTAGTTGGAGAGGTTTGGGCAGGAAACTGCTCGACTGTTGGTTACATTCGGAGTTGGGGATCGTTGGCAATGAATTTTCCAACTGTTGGGCTATTCAGAATTGAAGAACGTGGGCAGTACTTTTGGGTCGAATTGGAATAGCAAAAGGTGGACGGTAAACTATTTTACTGGTGGGTCCATTGGAAGGCAGAGAAGGTGGGTGGTAAATTGTACAACTTGTGTCTACTGGAGTTTAGGGCCTAGCTTATCCTGGTGGTTAGGGCACTCGACTCGCAGTCTGTGGGTCGCGGGTTTGAACCCCCGTCACAACAAATATGCTCGCCCCTTCAGTTGTGGGGCGTTATAATATGACGGCCAATCCTCCTATTCGTTGGTAAAAAGAGTAGCCCAAGAGTTGGCGGTGGGTTGTGTTGACTAACTTCCTTCCCTCTAGTCTTTCATTGCTAAATTAGGGACAGCTAGCGCGCATAGATAGCACTCGTGTAGCTTCGCGCGAAATTCAAAACAAACCAAACCATTGGAGTCAGATTTTAGAAGCTGAACAGTAATTATTGTTCAACGTTGTGTTCCTTTTCAATTGTTTAATTATTATTTCAGATCACATGATGGATTAACAAACAAACAACAACAATATTCTAAAGGGGTCGTTGAAATCATTTTAGAAGATTAACTTTTGCTTCATTTTTTAAAATATTACACACAACCCATTTATCCGTTTGTGTGTAGTACATTTATTACAAACTGTAGGAAAGGATTTTGGAGTAAAAAAGTTATTATATTATTTCCCGCGTGATAAAGGAGTGGAGTAAAAACGGTGATACCAACATTTAATTTACAGGGTATTAGAGATTGCCAGCTGGTTGTAATATGTTATTTTCCCCCGTAAGTCGATCGAGAACTTTGGTACATTTGAGGTCTGGATTAGTCAGTGGTAATGTTTCAATGCGATAAATACGTTCCAGGTGGTGTATCTTATACAGACATTTGTCAGAAAAAGGTTCGAAACGCTATGTTGATGTAGTCTGAATGTTACTTCACAAGTTTCCTAGTATGTTTACGTTTCTAATTTCGCTCTCTGTCCGTCCTGCGTTACACATTCACTTCTTAAACACCCAAACTCTGTCTCTCACAGCGTCAGTAGGGACAAAAAGGAAGCTAAATCCTTGGAGATACTAGTTATTCCGCACGCGGTTATGGTATACTCTCTAGTGCTACCTGTATCCGGGAATACACAAGTGCAACGAGGAGATGGATTTACGGCAGCAGCCAGCCGGGGTAGGAACCCCAGTTATCTCGTTGTTGAAGTTAAGGAACTTTTTCTTCGGACCCCAACGTGCTAATGGTAAGTAAGAGGTAGGACTGGTTGAAGCATTCTCTAAATGCCACTTTATTTATACACGTCTCCCTACGAAATGTCAGTTTATGTATACGTGTCTCCCTACGGAATGTCAGTTTATGTATACACGTTTCCGTACGAAACGTCAGTTTATTTATACGTGTCTCCCTACGAAATGTCATTTTATTTATACACGTCTCCCTACGAAATGTCAGTTTATGTATACGCGTCTCCCTACGAAATGTCAGTTTAATTATACGTGTCTCTCTACGAAAAAGCCCCCCAGTGGCACATCGGTATGTCTGCGGACTTACACCGCTAGAATCCGGGTTTCCATACCCGTGGTGGGCAGAGCACAGATAGCCCATTGTGTAGCTTTGTGCATAATTACAAACAAACCCTACGAACCGTCAGTTTGTGGTCCACTAGAAACTGACATCTTCCATAACAACCAAATTTTTGTTTTAGGGACTTCTATAAGATGTCACTATTGCGTGAGAAAAATTCACTTAAATTCACACATAGAGAAATAATATATTAGGCAAGTCAAAGTATATGCATATGATGTCCTTGAAAACGTCAATTATATTATGTTTTGGAATATATGGACATGAATTGCCTTTTAAAATAACACAATGTTCCTCCATGGAGGACAAAACGAGTAAGAAGAGAGGATAATAATTCCAAAATTCCAAACAAGATAAACTTTCATTTGCAAACCCTAGCATTTTTGCCAAAAAACGTCATCATTCAGAGCAATTTGGAAAACTATTGACATCACATTGCCTTATAAAACACCAAAATGTTTCCCCAATGGACAAAACAAACGGAGAGAATAATAATTTCAGAATTAAGAACAAGATCAAATTCCAGTTGCAAACCCCTAACCCTTGGGTTGAATATATGATAACCACTCAAAACAGAACTACACACGTTTTAAAGCTGACATTGTTCTAAAAGACATACAACAATAGAATGCTAAACAACACATTAAGTGTTATTACAGATACTAATAAGTACATCAACAAGCACGACAAGAGTCAGAGAATACAAATGAACGTCTTCTATATCAATCAGTCAAGTTCTTCATCATCAATGAGTTTTACCATTGTGCTTCATACTTGCAATGGATACTGCAAGTGATACCCTTCTCGGAACATCTAGATGACACACATGGTCGTTGACCGTTCTTACATGAACATCTAACATCTGAAAGACGTTCCATGGATGCTGTTGTCGGTGGTTACGGATAAAACGGAACCATCATCTACCTTGTATCCACACTCCTCTTTGACTTGGTAATAAACTCGAAGAATGTGGAAGTAGGCTGCTCTGCTTCTTATATTGAATAGGAACAAAATTCGGCGATATCACTATCAAGTATGCAATTCATCTTAATCTTTGGAATTTGGCACTGTCCATGCGGACAGCATGCATAAACTTCTAACCGATATCCTGTATAAAGTCGTTTGTGTCCCTGAAATTGAGTACTTCTGAATGTCATTGTTGTGATGACTGAAGTATTTTGAGATGCTTAACTTTACCGATTCCGAACAAAGATGAAATCTTGTCGCATTCAGACATGGCATGAAAAAAAAAAAGGTAAGCACATGTATAATTATTTCCCAGTAACTTCTTTCGATATGCTGATTGAAACATACTGCTGCTCTGTATGTAGAAAATATCTGCGTGATGCAATAACACTATTAGAATATCTGTGTCGCCTGGTGTGACAACTATCTGTTCGTGGTTTTTTGTGAGTTAAAGTGCCTTTCGAACTATCACCACGTTCTTCCTGTCCTGCATGATCTACGTTGATCCCAGCTGTGAGTTGCCAGCAGGGTAATGAAGACTTCTTTATTACGTTCGTTCGATGCCTTGTCTGTAGGAACTGGGGAATTATTATTGATCAACCATGAGAACTGGAGTATTGTTATTGACCAACCATGGGAACTGGAGTATTGTTATTGATCAACCATGGGAACTGGAGTATTGTTATTGATCAACCATGAGAACTGGAGTATTGTTATTATTGATCAACCATAAGCACTGGACTATTGGTATTGATCAACCATGAGAACTGGAGTATTGTTATTGATCAACCATGAGAACTGGACTATTGTTATTGATCAACCATGAGAACTGGAGTATTGTTATTGATAAACCATGGTAACTGGAGTATTGCTATTGATCAACCATGGTAACTGGGGTATTGTTATTGATCAACCATGGGAACTGGAGTGTTGTTATTGATCAACCATGGTAACTGGGGTATTGTTATTGATCAACCTTGGGAACTGGAGTATTGTTATTGATCAACCTTGGGAACTGGAGTATTGTTATTGATCAACCATGGGAACTAGGGTATTGTTATTGATCAACCATGGAAACTGGAGTATTGTTATTGATCAACCATGGGAACTGGAGTATTGTTATTGATCAACCTTGGGAACTGGAGTATTGTTATTGATCAACCATGGGAACTGGGGTATTTCTGTTGATCAACCTTGGGAACTGGAGTATTGTTAATGGTTGATCAACAGAAATACCCCAGTTCCCATGGTTGATCAATAACAATACCCCAGTTCCCATGGTTGATCAATAACAATACTCCAGTTCCCAAGGTTGATCAACAGAAATACCCCAGTTCCCATGGTTGATCAATAACAATACCCCAGTTCCCATGGTTGATCAATAACAATACCCCAGTTCCCAAGGTTGATCAAGGGAACTGGGGTATTGTTATTGATCAACCATGGGAACTGGGGTATTGTTATTGATCAACCATGGGAACTGGGGTATTTCTGTTGATCAACCTTGGGAACTGGAGTATTGTTATTGATCAACCATGGGAACTGGGGTATTGTTATTGATCAACCATGGGAACTGGAGTATTTCTGTTGATCACTATGTCAGCAACTGATATTTGATGTGGTCACCGTTTCTTCCGTTCCGATCCTTTTGTCGTTTCTACTTCAGTGGATATCAAAGAGTCAAACACTGTGTCCGTAGATGCAACTTTTGGCCATGGAATATGATAAAACAGAGCACAACTGTCATACACTTGGTGTTTCGAACATGGTAGTTGATTTGTTATATTTGTACTCATTTGGAGCAAATGCTTCACTAGTTGTGACTTCTGGGTTTTCCTCATACTTCCATCAGTCTTTAGTCTTGAAGTTGAGGAGTTAAGTTTGTGAAGTCCAACAGTACTGTGTTCAGCTTGTTCTACTTTTCTTGCTAGCGTGTAAGCCTTGTAGCGTTGTGACTTCTGGGTTTTCCTCATACTTCCATCAGTCTTTAGTCTTGAAGTTGAGGAGTTAAGTTTGTGAAGTCCAACAGTACTGTGTTCAGCTTGTTCTACTTTTCTTGCTAGCGTGTAAGCCTTGTAAATGCTTCACTAGTTGTGACTTCTGGGTTTTCCTCATACTTCCATCAGTCTTTAGTCTTGAAGTTGAGGAGTTAAGTTTGTGAAGTCCAACAGTACTGTGTTCAGCTTGTTCTACTTTTCTTGCTAGCGTGTAAGCCTTGTAGCACTTGTCATTCGCGTGGAATTTTTCCAGAAGGTGATGGTTGGACTTTCTTGTGAAGCTCATCTTCACACTTCTGTGATGCCTCAAGCAGCGTAGTTAACCACTTGGGACTTAATGTTCTACCACCGCCACAAACTACACCAAGACATGGTGATGTCTTATCTGTAATGAAAAGAAACAAAATTAAAACAAGTAACTGACAGCAAAAGCAGTAATAGCAGCAACAACAGTAGTAGTACCAGCACCACCAATAGCAACAACAGTAGTACCAGCACCACCAATAGCAACAACTGTAGTACCAGCACCACCAATAGCAACAACTTAGTACCAGCACCACAAAAACAACACAACAACAGTAGTAGTACCAGCACCACCAATAGCAACAACTTAGTACAGCACCACAAAAAGTAACAGCAGCAGCAACAACAGTAGTACCAGCACCACCAATAGCAACAACAGTAGTACCAGCACCACCAATAGCAACAACAACAGTAGTACCAGCACCACAAATAGCAACAGCAACAACAGTAGTACCAGCACCACCAATAGCAACAACAGTAGTACCAGCACCACCAATAGCAACAACTGTAGTACCAGCACCACAAATAGCAACAACTGTAGTACCAGGGTGCTGGTACTACTGTTGTTGCTGCTGCTGTTACTTTTTGTGGTGCTGGTACTACAGTTGTTGCTATTGGTGGTGCTGGTACTACTGTTGTTGCTGCTGCTGTTACTTTTTGTGGTGATCAACAGCAGCAACAACAGTAGTACCAGCACCACCAATAGCAACAACAGTAGTACCAGCACCACAAAAAGCAACAGCAACAACAGTAGTACCAGCACCACAAAAAGCAACAACAACAGTAGTATCAGCACCACAAATAGCAACAACAACAACAGTAGTACCAGCACCACAAATAGCAACAGCAACAACAGTAGTACCAGCACCACCAATAGCAACAGCAGCTGGACATTAAATATTATCATCACTAGTCACGGCTGTCTTTATCTATTGTCCTGAAGTACTCTTTTTGATAAATTTATTTAACGTTCGCAGTATTAAACACATTAAATATTTCTGCATTCATACGTGGTTACTGAATTCAAAACATACTATTAAATTACTATAATTATCCTCAACTACAATCACTAGTGCCTGTTTTCGCTTGAGACTTAGATTACAGCTTTGGTTAATATTAAATATGTCTGTTACATTCGTCTTAAAATTCCCAAGGTCCCTAAGCTTTAATGTCCTAAAATATTGAAGTTTCAATTTTCTTAAGAAACCATGCAAACAATTACGTTAGCTGGTTTTATTGTATCATTACTATGAATAAAACGCAGTGCAAAAACATTTGCTATATTGATTCAATGTTTAATAGTAGTCTTTTCACGCAAGAAAGTGCATTGTATAGGCATAACTTTGACCTGCAAAAAAACAACAAAAATCCCCACGTGAGAATTTGTGAATTT